CGTGGGAGGCTGTCCCGAGTCCGGTCCAGTCCCTGTCCCTGTGGGGCGTGGGGGGCTGTCACCGCCCCTGTGGGGCGTGGGGGGCTGTCCCCGAGTCCGGTCCAGTCCCTGTCCCTGTGGGGCGTGGGAGGCTGTCCCGAGTCCGGTCCAGTCCCTGTCCCTGTGGGGTGTGGGGGGCTGTCCCCGAGTCCGGTCCAGTTCCTGTCGGGTGTGGGGGGCTGTCCCCGAGTCCGGTCCAGTCCCAGTCCCTGTGGGGCGTGGGAGGCTGTCCCCGAGTCCGGTCCAGTCCCTGTCCCTGTGGGGCGTGGGGGGCTGTCCCCGAGTCCGGTCCAGTCCCTGTCCCTGTGGGGCGTGGGGGGCTGTCCCCGAGTCCGGTCCAGTCCCTGTCCCTGTGGGGTGTGGGGGGCTGTCACCGCCCCTGTGGGGTGTGGGGGGCTGTCCCCGAGTCCGGTCCAGTCCCTGTCCCTGTGGGGCGTGGGGGGCTGTCCCCGAGTCCGGTCCAGTCCCTGTCCCTGTGGGGCGTGGGGGGCTGTCCCCGAGTCCGGTCCAGTCCCTGTCCCTGTGGGGTGTGGGGGGCTGTCACCGCCCCTGTGGGGTGTGGGGGGCTGTCCCCGAGTCTGGTCCAGTCCCTGTCCCTGTGGGGCGTGGGGGGCTGTCCCCGAGTCCGGTCCAGTCCCTGTCCCTGTGGGGCGTGGGGGGCTGTCCCCGAGTCCGGTCCAGTCCCTGTCCCTGTGGGGCGTGGGGGGCTGTCCCCGAGCCCGGTCCAGTCCCTGTCCCTGTGGGGCGTGGGGGGCTGTCACCGCCCCTGTGGGGTGTGGGGGGCTGTCCCCGAGTCCGGTCCAGTCCCAGTCCCTGTGGGGTGTGGGGGGCTGTCCCCGAGTCCGGTCCAGTTCCTGTCGGGTGTGGGGGGCTGTCCCCGAGTCCGGTCCAGTCCCTGTCCCTGTGGGGTGTGGGGGGCTGTCCCCGAGTCCGGTCCAGTCCCTGTCCCTGTGGGGTGTGGGGGGCTGTCCCCGAGTCCGGTCCAGTCCCTGTCCCTGTGGGGTGTGGGGGGCTGTCCCCGAGTCCGGTCCAGTCCCTGTCCCTGTGGGGTGTGGGGGGCTGTCCCCGAGTCCGGTCCACTCCCTGTCCCTGTGGGGTGTGGGGGGCTGTCCCCGAGTCCGGTCCAGTCCCTGTCCCTGTGGGGTGTGGGGGGCTGTCCCCGAGTCCGGTCCAGTCTCTGTCCCTGTGGGGTGTGGGGGCTGTCCCCGAGTCCGGTCCAGTCCCTGTCCCTGTGGGGTGTGGGGGGCTGTCCCCGAGTCCGGTCCAGTCCCTGTCCCTGTGGGGTGTGGGGGGCTGTCACCGCCCCTGTGGGGTGTGGGGGGCTGTCCCCGAGTCCGGTCCAGTCCCTGTCCCTGTGGAGTGTGGGGGGCTGTTCCCGAGTCCGGTCCAGTCCCTGTCCCTGTGGGGTGTGGGGGGCTGTCCCCGAATCCGGTCCAGTCCCTGTCCCTGTGGAGTGTGGGGGGCTGTCCCCGAGTCCGGTCCAGTCCCTGTCCCTGTGGGGTGGGGGGGGCTGTCCCCGAGTCCGGTCCAGTCCCTGTCCCTGTGGGGTGTGGGGGGCTGTCCCCGAATCCGGTCCCGTCCCTGTCCCTGTGGGGTGTGGGGGGCTGTCCCCGAGTCCGGTCCAGTCCCTGTCCCTGTGGGGTGTGGGGGGCTGTCCCCGAGTCCGGTCCAGTTCCTGTCAGGTGTGGGGGGCTGTCCCCGAGTCCGGTCCAGTCCCTGTCCCTGTGGGGTGTGGGGGGCTGTCCCCGAGTCCGGTCCAGTTCCTGTCGGGTGTGGGGGGCTGTCCCCGAGTCCCGTCCAGTCCCTGTCCCTGTGGGGTGTGGGGGGCTGTCCCCGAGTCCGGTCCAGTCCCTGTCCCTGTGGGGTGTGGGGGGCTGTCCCCGAGTCCGGTCCAGTCCCAGTCCCTGTGGGGTGTGGGGGGCTGTCCCCGAGTCCGGTCCAGTCCCAGTCCCTGTGGGGTGTGGGGGGCTGTCCCCGAGTCCGGTCCAGTTCCTGTCGGGTGTGGGGGGCTGTCCCCGAGTCCCGTCCAGTCCCTGTCCCTGTGGGGTGTGGGGGGCTGTCCCCGAGTCCGGTCCAGTCCCAGTCCCTGTGGGGTGTGGGGGGCTGTCCCCGAGTCCGGTCCAGTTCCTGTCGGGTGTGGGGGGCTGTCCCCGAGTCCGGTCCAGTCCCTGTCCCTGTGGGGTGTGGGGGGCTGTCACCGCCCCTGTGGGGTGTGGGGGGCTGTCCCCGAGTCCGGTCCAGTCCCTGTCCCTGTGGGGTGTGGGGGGCTGTCACCGCCCCTGTGGGGTGTGGGGGGCTGTCCTCGAGTCCGGTCCAGTCCCTGTCCCTGTGGGGCGTGGGGGGCTGTCCCCGAGTCCGGTCCAGTCCCTGTCCCTGTGGGGCGTGGGGGGCTGTCCCCGAGTCCGGTCCAGTCCCTGTCCCTGTGGGGTGTGGGGGGCTGTCACCGCCCCTGTGGGGTGTGGGGGGCTGTCCCCGAGTCCGGTCCAGTCCCTGTCCCTGTGGGGCGTGGGGGGCTGTCCCCGAGCCCGGTCCAGTCCCTGTCCCTGTGGGGCGTGGGGGGCTGTCCCCGAGTCCGGTCCAGTCCCTGTCCCTGTGGGGTGTGGGGGGCTGTCACCGCCCCTGTGGGGTGTGGGGGGCTGTCCCCGAGCCCGCTCCAGTCCCTGTTCCTGTGGGGCGTGGGGGGCTGTCCCCGAGTCCGGTCCAGTCCCTGTCCCTGTGGGGTGTGGGGGGCTGTTCCCGAGTCCGGTCCAGTCCCTGTCCCTGTGGGGTGTGGGGGGCTGTCCCCGAATCCGGTCCAGTCCCTGTCCCTGTGGAGTGTGGGGGGCTGTCCCCGAGTCCGGTCCAGTCCCTGTCCCTGTGGGGTGGGGGGGGCTGTCCCCGAGTCCGGTCCAGTCCCTGTCCCTGTGGGGTGTGGGGGGCTGTCCCCGAATCCGGTCCCGTCCCTGTCCCTGTGGGGTGTGGGTGGCTGTCCCCGAGTCCGGTCCAGTCCCTGTCCCTGTGGGGTGTGGGGGGCTGTCCCCGAGTCCGGTCCAGTTCCTGTCAGGTGTGGGGGGCTGTCCCCGAGTCCGGTCCAGTCCCTGTCCCTGTGGGGTGTGGGGGGCTGTCCCCGAGTCCGGTCCAGTTCCTGTCGGGTGTGGGGGGCTGTCCCCGAGTCCCGTCCAGTCCCTGTCCCTGTGGGGTGTGGGGGGCTGTCCCCGAGTCCGGTCCAGTCCCTGTCCCTGTGGGGTGTGGGGGGCTGTCCCCGAGTCCAGTCCAGTCCCAGTCCCTGTGGGGTGTGGGGGGCTGTCCCCGAGTCCGGTCCAGTCCAAGTCCCTGTGTGGTGTGGGGGGCTGTCCCCGAGTCCGGTCCAGTTCCTGTCGGGTGTGGGGGGCTGTCCCCGAGTCCGGTCCAGTCCCTGTCCCTGTGGGGTGTGGGGGGCTGTCCCCGAGTCCGGTCCAGTTCCTGTCGGGTGTGGGGGGCTGTCCCCGAGTCCCGTCCAGTCCCTGTCCCTGTGGGGTGTGGGGGGCTGTCCCCGAGTCCGGTCCAGTCCCTGTCCCTGTGGGGTGTGGGGGGCTGTCCCCGAGTCCGGTCCAGTCCCTGTCCCTGTGGGGCGTGGGGGGCTGTCCCCGAGTCCGGTCCAGTCCCTGTCCCTGTGGGGCGTGGGGGGCTGTCCCCGAGTCCGGTCCAGTCCCTGTCCCTGTGGGGCGTGGGGGGCTGTCCCCGAGCCCGGTCCAGTCCCTGTCCCTGTGGGGCGTGGGGGGCTGTCCCCGAGTCCGGTCCAGTCCCTGTCCCTGTGGGGTGTGGGGGGCTGTCACCGCCCCTGTGGGGTGTGGGGGGCTGTCCCCGAGCCCGCTCCAGTCCCTGTTCCTGTGGGGCGTGGGGGGCTGTCCCCGAGTCCGGTCCAGTCCCTGTCCCTGTGGAGTGTGGGGGGCTGTTCCCGAGTCCGGTCCAGTCCCTGTCCCTGTGGAGTGTGGGGGGCTGTCCCCGAGTCCGGTCCAGTCCCTGTCCCTGTGGGGTGGGGGGGGCTGTCCCCGAGTCCGGTCCAGTCCCTGTCCCTGTGGGGTGTGGGGGGCTGTCCCCGAATCCGGTCCCGTCCCTGTCCCTGTGGGGTGTGGGTGGCTGTCCCCGAGTCCGGTCCAGTCCCTGTCCCTGTGGGGTGTGGGGGGCTGTCCCCGAGTCCGGTCCAGTTCCTGTCAGGTGTGGGGGGCTGTCCCCGAGTCCGGTCCAGTCCCTGTCCCTGTGGGGTGTGGGGGGCTGTCCCCGAGTCCGGTCCAGTTCCTGTCGGGTGTGGGGGGCTGTCCCCGAGTCCCGTCCAGTCCCTGTCCCTGTGGGGTGTGGGGGGCTGTCCCCGAGTCCGGTCCAGTCCCTGTCCCTGTGGGGTGTGGGGGTTGTCCCCGAGTCCAGTCCAGTCCCAGTCCCTGTGGGGTGTGGGGGGCTGTCCCCGAGTCCGGTCCAGTCCCAGTCCCTGTGGGGTGTGGGGGGCTGTCCCCGAGTCCGGTCCAGTTCCTGTCGGGTGTGGGGGGCTGTCCCCGAGTCCGGTCCAGTCCCTGTCCCTGTGGGGTGTGGGGGGCTGTCCCCGAGTCCGGTCCAGTCCCTGTCCCTGTGGGGTGTGGGGGGCTGTCCCCGAGTCCGGTCCAGTCCCTGTCCCTGTGGGGTGTGGGGGGCTGTCCCCGAGTCCGGTCCAGTCCCTGTCCCTGTGGGGTGTGGGGGGCTGTCCCCGAGTCCGGTCCAGTCCCTGTCCCTGTGGGGTGTGGGGGGCTGTCCCCGAGTCCGGTCCAGTCCCTGTCCCTGTGGAGTGTGGGGGGCTGTCCCCGAGTCCGGTCCAGTCTCTGTCCCTGTGGGGTGTGGGGGCTGTCCCCGAGTCCGGTCCAGTCCCTGTCCCTGTGGGGTGTGGGGGTTGTCCCCGAGTCCGGTCCAGTCCCTGTCCCTGTGGGGCGTGGGGGGCTGTCACCGCCCCTGTGGGGTGTGGAGGGCCGTCCCGGAGTCCAGTACTGGCACTATCCCTGTGGGGTGTCCCTGTGGGGAGTAGGGGGCTGTCAGGAGTCCAGTACCATCACCGCCTCTGTGGGGTGTCCCTGAGGGTGTGGGGGACTGTCTGTCCCCTGGTACAGGAAGTTGAGTGGCTGTATGGTCCTTTACACAAAACATATTCTTCACTAGAAGAGTCAAGCCTAGTTTAGGAATTTGGGAAGAGCTTCCAGTGTTAAGAAGGTAAGCCTTGGTGTGTGTATGAATAAAGTTGTCCTTTGTTTGGAGTTTTAAGAACCATAATTGCACTAATGCTATTTTGAATAGGCTTTTGATAGAAGCAGCTTTGAATTTACTTTTTAATGTAAATAGAATGAGATAAACATCTATTGAACTTCTTGGGGAGGGATGCTGGAATTTCAGATATATTCCATGCTAATATCTTGTTTATTTTCAGACGTGGTGGCATATGTTGAAGTCTGGTCAGTGAATGGAACAGAAAATTACTCAAAGACATTTACAGACCAACTTGTGGATATGGGGGCAAAGGTAAGAAATGCATTTTACCACTGCTACATATGGCAGTCCTCTCTACCTAATGAGAAATGCTTGTATTTTCTTATTCTGGGAGTTAACTAAGTAGAACAGGAGGGATGAAGGACAAAGAAGAAGGTGGGTAAGCAGTGCGGTGGGGGAGGGGTGAACCATGATGTGAAAAGGTTCAAAACAGTCGGATTCATAGAACAGTTGGTCCTGTGGGTGATGCGAGAAGACTAGCCTAGAGCCATGGATTCTGCCACTGGTTAATTGGATGCAGGATGCTGTTGACCAAAGTGAGAAATACAGGAAAAGGATAAGGTTTTTAAGGGAAACATTGTGATTTTGGGCATATTGAAAATATCTGACAGACATTTGGATATACAGATCTGGAATTTGAGAAAGTCACGGCTATAGATAATATTGTAGGGGGTCAAGACCCTGTGGGTCAGGTGAGACCACTGGTGTGGGAATGACTCAGGCTGTTAGAATGAAAGGGGCTGAAGGTGGAGCCTATTAAGTATTTGGAGGGCAGGTGATGGGAGCAGGGGACCCAGGGACAAAGAGGAAATGCCAGGAGATTCTGGAAAACTAAGTCTGGAAGTCAGAGGAGGGATGCACTTCAAAGACGGAATTTTAAAGCAATGCAGACTCTTCAGACAAGTTGAGACTGGCAGGTGTACTTTAGGTTTGAAAACTCTAAGGTTATTATTGAGTGTAGCACAAGTGAAATGGGTAAAAGGATTGGACATTAGCCCAGGAATGAATGAGATACGTACGAGGAATGGAGATGGTGAAGACAGGCTGCTCTCAGAGGGACTTGAACTGTGAACAAAGTGTATTCATTTGTGCAGCTGTCGGGGACTTGGGGGAGGATGACATAGGCTGGGTGAAGGGAGAAGGTTAATATGGTGAGAAGATCGGTGAAGGCAGGGCCGGAGTTTAGGGTGAGGGGAGAGAGGCCCCCAGGTTGTAAAACAGAAGGAGACATTCAGCCATGGGCAGAGAGGGTGCTCCTAAATCTTGTCTGGCTCTTGCTAGCCCCTACCCTGGTGGACAGAACAGACTGCAGACTAGAGTGGAGAGTGTTGAGCATGTAGGGGTAGGGCGCCCTTGTGAACCTGAGAAGACCCCTTCTTTTCTGATCTGTTGGAAGGTGGGAACCAGAGGGTGTTTCCTTGTTTTGATGCCTGCTACCTTCTTGGGCTAAAAGACAAGGCACAGTGGCTGAGAAAAAGGCCATGGAGTGTGGGAGCTGACAGAGTGGCGTTTAAGACCATCGTATCTTAGTATTAAGAACTTCGATCCCTTGGATCTTTTTGCTTTTCACGTTTTATTGAGCAAATTTTCAAATAGAAAAGTGGAACATAGAGACCCAATAATTGTTAACATCTTAACATACTTGCTTTGTCTTCATCTCTTCTGTACAGTATATTTACATGTGTATGTTTTTTTTTCTAAACTATTTGAAAGGGAGTCACAGATAAAATTTGCCCCTAAATTGGTTCGGTGTGTAACCTCTAAGAACAAGGAATTTCCCTGTATAATAAAAAGGCCATTATCACATCTGAGAAGGTTAACAATGGTTCCTAACGGATTCGACCACTGCAGAAAACTATTTGTATTTCTGCCAGTGAATGAGAGCCTGACTTGTTTGTACTTGGTTTTGTCTTTACTTTCAGCCCTTTGGTGCCTTTCTGGTGGTATATCATCATGGTTTGAAATTGTATTTTCCTGCATGTTTTCATATATTTATTTTGAGGAGCCTGTTCAAGACTCCAGCTCATTATTTCCATTGGATTTTTCCCTCTCTTCTTGATTTGTAAGCATTCCCTCTATTTTTCGGCTGACCCCATTGTTTGCCATATGAATTGCAAGATTTTCTAACTCTGTGACTTGTTTTTTCATCTTTATGGTATCTTTTGATGATAATTGGAATATGGTTTATTTCTTTATGGCGAGCTTTGTGTGTGTTCTGTTTAAAAAAAATAATAAAACTGTGCCTTTACCAAGATTACGAAGATTTCTCCTCTGTTATTTTATGGAAGCTTTATCATTTTGCCTTTCACATCTAGATTTACTGTATATCTGGAATTGATTTTTATATATGGTGTGAAATAGTTTCATTTTCTTTCCCATGTGAATATTCTTTTATCTTAGCACCATTTATTGAAAAGACCATCCTTTAACCAGTCTCTGAAATAATTAATGCCTTTGCTTGTCATTGGTCAGGTAACTGTGTGTTTCATTATCCGCATTATCTGTTCTCATGACAGACCACAGTCATAATTGCTCTTTATAATGAATCTTCGTAAGTCTTGTTGTTTTTCCTTCAAGGTGTCCTGGCTGTTCTTTGCCTTTTGCATTTCCAAATATATTTTAGAATCAGTTTGTCAGCTTTTAAAAATTTTGAATGGGATTGGATTGATAAAAATAGATCCATATGAAGAGAACTGATGTTTTTACAAAATTGAATCTTCCAACCCATAAACTTATATGCCTTTGTTGATTTTGGTTTAATTTCTTTCAGTAATGTTTTACAATTTTCTCTGGTCATTTTTCATGTATTATAGATGGTATTTTTTAAATTCCTTTTTATAACTGTTACTGGTATATAGAAATAATTTTTGCATATCTACTTTGTGTCCAGAAGACTTAGCAAACTCATTTATGGAATATGGCATTTTGGGGACTTAAAAAAGATGTACACAATTGAATATTATGTGCACAGGACAGTTACTCTATTTTCTAATCCTAAGCCTTTCTATTTCTTTTTTTTGGACATACTGCACTGGTGAGGGCCTGTGTTGAATAGAGCACACTTACCAGGCATCTTTGTGTGGTTCCGCCTCTCAAGGGAAAGCTTTTGGCATTTTCACCTAATGCAATTTTTTTGTTTTGTTTTTAAATTGGAATATAGTTGGCATACAATATTGTATTAGTTTCAGGTTTATAAAATAGTGATACCACATTTATGTACATTGTGAAATGATCACCAGGATAAGTCTAGTTCTCATCTGTCACCAAAGTTGTTATAATATCCTTGATTATATTCCCTATGGTGCACTTTTCATCTCTAGGACTTAAAACTGGAAGTTGGTTCCTTTTCTAATTTTCACATATTTTACCCATCGCTCCTGCCCCTCTGGTACCCACCAGTTCTCTATTTATGAGTCCATTTTGTTTTTTAGATTACACATATAAGTGATATCATGTGCCTAATGCATTTTTTTTTTTACCAACTTTCAGATCCTAATTTGCTAAGAGTTTTCTTCATGAATTAACTTTTTAATGTCATCAGTTGTGTTTTCTGCATATAATTGAGATGATCATAAGGTTTTTCTTTTTTACTTTGTTAACAGTGAATATTTAACATTAAACAACTTTGCAGTCCTGGAATAAACTCAGGTGGTGGGAATGCATTATCCTTTTTATGTATTTGTTGATAACAGTTTGCCAATAAGGGGTGATACTGGCTAGTCATTTTCCGTTCCTATAGTGCTGTTATGCGGTTTGGTGCTAAAGATAGGCTGGTTTTGTAATACAAGTTGCAGAATTGTGACTTTTTTTTTTATTCTAAGTTTGTATAGGATTGGTATTATTTCTCTCTTAAATATTTGGTATAATTTGCTGATGAAGCCAACTAGTCCTTGAGTTTTCTTTGTAGATTTTTTAAAAACTTTTTTGTTACAGTTTTTCATCTGTTTGAAAATTATAGGATATGCATGTTTTCTATTCTTATAAGTGCTTTTAGAAAGTTGGTATTTTTGGTTTTTTAAGAAATGTATTCATTTCATCTAAATTTTCAAATTTATTGGATCAAAGCTATTCATAATATCCTGTTTGAATTTTTTAACGTCTTCACAGTCTATGAGATGATCCTTTCATACTGATATTGGTTATTTGTACCTTTTCTCTTATGGTTATTTGTGCCTTTTCTCTTATTTTCCTTATAACATTTACTTGGGTTTTATTGATTTTATTAGTTTTTCCAAAGAACCAACTTTTGGTGTTCTTGATCCTCCTTTTCTTTTTTATTAATTCTGGCCTCTTTTTTATAATCCTCTAACTCAGTCTTTGGTTTTAATTAGCTGTTCTTTTTCCCGCTTTTCAAGTTGAGCGCATTGACATTTAACCCTCTTACTTTTTGTACGTGCATTTGTTTTGACTTTGTTAAATTCATATTTGTTAAGTGGAACACAGGGTGCTGAATGGTGAACAGCAGTTAAACAACAGACTATAGAGAAATTGAAACAGAAGTTTATTACAGGTTTTGGAGGAGATGCATGATGCCACACGGGGAGGTCAGGGCAGAGTACAGCCAGAGCGAATGAGAGGACCTGAGGCATATGTCTTTATTAGGGTCCATGGTGGAATGCTTTCAGTTTCCTAGTCTAGGGCTGGATTAATCAATTCAAACCAAAGAATGAGGTTTTGGTAGCTCCAGAACCTTATCTAAGGGGCACACAATGGGAAGGACCTTGAAGGCAGAGGAGATGGTTGCTCAAAGGGCCATTGGGGAACTGACATTTGCGTGTGACTCTGGGGGCTTTTATCTAGGGTATGTGTTTGTATGAGGAGTTGGTGTTGGTTTAAGACTCCTGCAGGTTGCTTGGCCAAAAAAATGGATGCCAAGACAGCAGTACTTAGCTGGAGTAGCTTAGCTAAACTCTGACAGCATTTTAGGTTATACAGTTCTCCTTAAACTGGGCTTTAACTGTATTCCCCAAGGCTTTGTTGGGTAGATTGCAATATCTAGGTCTACTTTTACTTTTTATTTTATCTAGTGGTTTATGTTCTTGTCTCATCTGTAGATTAGCTTGATGTTTTGTTGTTTTTTTTTTCTAGTTGAGTATTGTGTGTATTTAAAATTGTTTGGAATTAATTTGAGGCCTAGAATTGTATTCTCTTTCTTCAGAAGAGATTCACATTTGCTTCAGTCATGTTTTTAGTGCTCATAATCCAGGATTATCTTAATCCAGTTGCGGGATTGAAGATGATTTAAAACTGGACTGCAGACCTGTGAGGGCCACTTATGACTATGGTTTACTCTTACTCCTAGATCTGCCCTTCGGGTGCCCATACAAGATATGAGGGTTTTGCCAGACTCCCTTCTCCCATTCTGAGGCTGGCAGTCCAATTTTTGCCCCTCTTGTCCTCAGAGGCATTTAGAAGTGCTACCCATTGTTTGCTAAATTTGACAAAAGCCCTAGGGAAAAAATGACCCTGAATGCTAGATTCCTCTGTCTGGTTGTGTCAGTCTGTACCTAGAGTCTTGGCTCAGTAATAACCCCTCACTACCTCAGTAGTTCTCCAGGGTCTTCTGGTAGGTTGGTAGGTAGGTAGATAGACAAAAAGATATATATGTATATTTTATCAAAGCAATACATACATGTTGCTTAAAAGGGCAAATGTGCAGTGCCATGAGGTTCATAATACAAACAAGGAGAAACCAGCAATCCTTTGTTCTACATTTCTCACTCTATTTTTCTAAGTCAGCCTTTTTCAGATTTGTTTTACCTGTTTCTTTTGGTGTTTACCTTTTTATTGCCGAACAGTGTACATATTATTACTTTGATAAAATTAAGTATTGTTATAAGAATGATGTATTGGACCATTTCCATTCCTGGAAAGATTACATATAAAAGGTAAAGTTTTTGACACCATGAGTTTGAACATGCCTTTATTATACCTTTCTTTACCTTTGATTGATATTTTAGCTGATTGTAAAATGCCAAGTGTATATTATTTTTCCCTGAAGGAACTTCTGCATTGTTTTCTGACTTCCAGATTGCTGATGACATTGTCGTGTCTCACTGTTGAGTGTGATTTATCCCCACCTTCACTTCCTTACTCTCTTTTAATGTCAAATCTTTCTCTACTCCAGCTCTACTGAAATTTCAGGATGATATACTTAATGTGGTTCTGTTTTCATTTTCATGCCGGGCCCTTGGGGGGGGTCCTTTTTTTTTTTTTTTTTTAAGATTTTATTTATTTATTTGACAGAGAGAGACACAGCGAGAGCGGGAACACAAGCAGGGAGAGTGGGAGAGGGAGAAGCAGGCTTCCTGCCGAGCAGGGAGCCCGATGTGGGACTCGATCCCAGGACCCTGGGATCATGACCTGAGCCGAAGGCAGACGCTTAAGGACTGAGCCACCCAGGCGCCCTGGGGGGGTCCTTTTGATCTAGAGCACATGCTCTTTAATTTGAGAAATTTTTCTTGAACTATTTCTTTTCCATTTTCTCTATTCCTGTATTTCTTCAACTATTATTACTTAGCTCTTGGTTCCCCTGGTCTTAGCTGATGTTCATATCTTATATCTCCTATTGCATCCATCTCCTTGTCTTTCTGTTGTCTTGTCCTATGGGGAGAATTTCTCAACTTTATTATTGTTCAGCATTTCTATAGACTTTTTTTTTTACTTATGTCATCATATTTTTAATTTCCAAGAGCTCTTTAGTTCTCTGATCCTTTAAAAAAAAAACAAAAAACCTCCCCATCTTAGATATCTTTCATGAACACAGTGTCTTCTGAAGATTTAAATGAATGTTATTTTCTTCCAAATACATTAAATGTTTTTAATTTTAATTACATAAGTATTCCCTGTATTGTCTGTTTCCTGTGAATTTTATTTTATGTCTGATGTAGAAGGTTGTCTTAAATGTCCTTAATTAATTGACTTAGCTCCCATTCTCTCCTCTACTAAAAATGCATTGCTGGCTCCTGTCCACATTCCCTCTCCTTTTTATCCTTGTAGAGCTCTAACTCTGTACGTCACATTTTTTGAGAGGGAGCAGAGATAAACACGTGTATAACATACCATCCTAACTGGAGCAGATAGGTTTTCTAAGTGGCATTATCCATTTGTTAGCGTAGTTCTCTGTGACAGATTATGAGAAATGGACTTGCTGGGGTAAGGGTTTTAGATGTTTTCCTTTTGTCAAATACTGAATAAAGTATCCTTTTTGATCAATTTTACTTATGAAATTGTTCAGAAATGGTAATTTACATTTTGTTTTCTGCCTTTTGTCTGCAGGTTTCAAAAACTTTTAATAAACAAGTGACTCATGTTGTGTTCAAGGATGGATACCAGAGCACTTGGGACAAAGCACAGAAGAGAGGTGTGAAGCTCGTTTCAGTGCTCTGGGTCGAAAAGTAAGTGGTTTCTTTTTTTTTTTTTCTTTAAGTATCTAGTATTGGTTGAGTGTGGAGATATTTCTCATACATCACAGACCAGATAAAATGTGATTTTGTCTTTTCTCTACCTCTTATTTGGGCAAGTCATTTAATCCTCAGGCCTTGGTTTTAGCAGCTGAAGAAGGACCTGGTATAATCCTTAACCCTGCCTAGAGGGAAGATGACCGCACAGGCCCTGAGACATGTATGCTTGGTGTATTCCGGAAAGCACAAGGAGGTGAATGTGATGAAGCAGATAACATCTGCTTGGCTGCCACAGCTAAAGTACCGCAGGCAAGGTGGCTTAAACAACAGACATTAATTTCTCCCAGTTCTGGAGGCCAGAAGTCCGCCATCAAAGTGTTGGCAGGGTTTGTTCTTCTGAGGCCTGTCTCCTTGGCTGACAGATGGCTGTCCTTTCCGGGCCTTCACCTGGTCTCTGTGTGTGTTGGTGTCCTAATCTCTTATTGTACGGACACCAGTTGTATTGGCTGAGGGCCCACCCTAATGGCCTCATTTAACCTTAATTATCTCTTTCAAGGCCAGATTGCCAAATATAGTTGACACTCGAAAAAAAAAAGGATTTGAATTGTGGAGGTCCACTTATATATGGATTGTTTTTCAATAAGAACATTGGAAAATTTTTTGGAGATTTGTGACAATTTGAAAAAACTTACAGGTAAACTGCGCAAGCTTGAAATACTGAAAAATTTAAGAAGAAATAATTTTAAGAATAAGGTATATAATACATAAAACATTACAAAATATGTGTTAATTGCTTGTTATCTGAAAGGCTTCTCTGGTCAGCAGTAGGCTATTAGTCGTTAAGTTTTGGGGGAGTCAAAAGTTACATGTGGATTTTTGATTGCACTATGTGGGGGCTCCCCTAGAGCCCACGTTGTTCAAGAGTGAACTCTACAGTCACATTCCTACTTGGGATTAAAACTTCATGTGAATATTGTGGGGGACATAATTGAGCCCATAACTCGTGTGGTCAAGGGGAAACGTTGGAGGAGATTGAGGCCAGAGACGGGTGGCGGGGAATCAGGTGACGTGGGGCTTTGTGGAGTGTGATTCAGAAGAGATGTATGTGGGAAAAGGGGCAAAGGAAGAGGCAGGAGAGTGGTTGGAGGCTGCTGAATGATCCAGCCTGGAGATGTTGCTTGCACTAGGGTGGTAATAACGTGGTCATGAAGAATGGTCAGATTCAGGATGTATTTTTGAAGGTAGTGCCAGACTAGATCTCCTGAAGATTTGGATATGAGTTTGTAGAGAAGGGGAAAAATCAAGAATGACTGTGAAGTGTGGGCCTGAGGAACCAGAAAGATGGGTTTGCCGTTTTCCAAGATTGGGAAGGCTTCAGAAGGACCAGGTTTGGAAGGGAGATCATGAGTTCCGTTTGGATGTGCTGAATTTGGGGTATTTATTAAGCACCCATGTGGAGGTGTCAGGTAGGCAGTTGGATATATGAGTGATGAGCTCCTTGGAGAGATTGAAGATAAACATGTGGGAGTCTTCCTTATACAGATGTTATTTTAAGCTGTAAATCTGGATGTGACCTCTTGGTAAGTATAGATAGGGAAAGGAGGTGGTTCCAAGGTTGAGCACTCTAGTGTTGGGTGTTGAGGGGGAAACCAGTGAGGATGGGATTCTAGAAATCAGGTGAAGAAAGCCTTCAAGGAGGGGATAATGATCAGCTGTGGCAAACAGGTTGAATAAAGGTAGGTCTAAGAGGTTACCACTGGAATTAGCAAGGTGGTGTCTCTAGGATCTCCTTCTGGTCTTGCTCCTGCCCTGTTCCCTAGTTCCCTAGTTCTGGTCTTGCTCCTGCCTGTTCCCTGTTCCTAATCCCTAAAACTAGCAGTTTTAGCAGATTAGTGGGAGCAAGACTTGTTCAAGTAGAAGTTGGGAAATAGTGCATGGAGACTACTCCAGTGGGGAACAGAGAGCTGGGACAGTACCTGGAGGGGGGTGTGGAGTGGAAAAGGTTGTTTAAGATGGGAGAAATGACAGCATCTCTGTATGCTGACAGAACTGATCCAGTAGAGGGAAATTTTGCTAATGGAGGGGCAAGAGGAAACATTAACTCATGCTAGTGGGTTATTAAGGGGGATGAGGGAATAGACTCTTAACACACAAGCCGATGGGTTATATAGGTTATATAGGTTATATATAGGTTAATCTTATGTATCCTATAGTTTATATAGGATGGGTTATATGGGATCAAGGATAGGAGGGAATGCAGAGTATACGGGACAGTTGCTGCTAAGTGAGTAGATGTGGCTTCAGGTCTAAGGGAAATTATTTCCTGATGCCGCTTTCTCAGTGAGAGGAAACGAGGTTGTGACCTGAGAATGAGAGGCTTTGGAGGTTTGAAGAGAACACAAACACATGAAATAATTGTCTAGAAACTTGAGAGAGTGGGTGGATCAGAGTGGGACTAACGGTTCACTTGAGGATGGTGATAAGTTGAACATGAGGCCCCGAGTAACAGGACAATGGCTTATCCAGCAACCCACAAGCAAGAAGGAGGCGGAGTGTTGGATTTAACCAGGATTGGATTTTGCCAGGCAACCACCATAAAGGCGGTTGGAGGGATATGGGAGGCAGGGATAATGATGGACTGTGGACTCCAAGCTTGACTGGGGATGGGGGGTTGTGAAGGGAGCAAAGGATGGAAGAAGTGTTGTTTGATGAACAGATCATAAATCTTAGTTGGGTTGAGGAATTGTTGGGGATGTACAAGAGGTTGTGTTTGGGAGGACAGGGGGATATGGTTGGAGAGTGTGATGCTTGAAATGTAGATCATGGAGAGTATGCTGAGAAAATGGAATCCGTGGTAGCTACTCTTCACAGGACCCCTGTCCTTCCAGTTAACCTGGAAGTAGTTCTTGGTTTGAAAGTAACAAGTACATACGAGGTGCTCCAGAGAAACTAGAACAAATATGACAGACACAGCACCTCAAAGAATTTATAACTTAGTGGAGGGGGCAAGTAAAATGCCATGGTGGAATGGTCAGGACCATAGTGACCACAACTCCAGGAGCCTCCTATATTGTGCAACATTGCCGTGGAGAAAGTTACTTTAAAAAGTCAGAGTTCCTCACATAGGGTTGAATGGCCATGCCTTGTTATTAAGTGTTTTTTTTTTTTATTTTTTATTTTTTTATTTTTTTTTATTTTTTATTTTTATTTATTTTTTTTTTTAAAGATTTTATTTATTTATTCATGACAGACAGAGAGAGAGAGAGAGGCAGAGGGAGAAGCAGGCTCCCAAGGAGCAGGGAGCCCGATGCGGGACTCGATCCCAGGACCCTGGGATCACGACCTGAGCCGAAGGCAGATGCTTAACCAACTGAGCCACCCAGGCGCCCGTGTTTTTTTTTTTAAATTAATGGACTTTATTCTTTTAAAGATTTATTATTTATTTATTTATTTGAGAGCAAGAGAGTGAGAGCGAGCTTGGGTATGCACTAACAGGGAGGGAGAGGGAAAGAGAATCCTCAAGCACACTCCTCACTGAGCTCAGAGCCCAATGCGGAGCTCCATCTCATGACTCTGAGATCATGACCTGAGCCAAAACCAAGAGATGCTCATCTGACTGAGCCACCCAGGCGCCCTGGACTTTCTTCTTTTAGAGCAGTTTCATACATCATTATCAGGGTCTATGCCTCTATATTGCTTTGCTGCTTTCGTATGAATTTACTCTAGGTTTCTAAAACATACCATTCTCCAGAGGTATTTATCATATGTGTCTTTAGCTCAAGACAGTCCTGAAGTGGCCACTGTCAGATTATAGATAAGGGAACAGGGCAGGAGCAAGACCAGAAGGAGTTCTAATTATTATAAGATAGAAATGGGTGTGTTTTCCATAAGAATGTAGAAAGAGATTTAAACCTTTGATTACTATGTATGGATGTATATAGTATGTTATGATTTTAAGTTTTAAGTAAATTAAGAAAAAATAGTGTCTCATTTATCCATGTTTACTATTTCTGTTACTCTTAATTCTTAAAGATCTGAGTTTTCTCTGGTGTTTCCTTTCAAAGTGAATAATACATTTAGATTTCTTCTTTTGTTATTTTTTTAAAATTAAGATAATATTCACATATCATAAAACCCAGCCTTTTAGAGTACATTTCAGTAGATTTTAATCTGTTCGTAGAGATTTGTAACCATCACTACTATCTAATTTAATATTTTCATCACTCCAAAAAGAAGTCCTGGGGGCGCCTGGGTGGCTCAGTTGGTTAAAGCCACTGCCTTCGGCTCAGGTCATGATCCTGGAGTCCCGGGATTGAGTCCCGCATCGGGCTGCCTGCTAGGCGGGGAGCCTGCTTCTCCCTCTGCCTCTGCCTCTCTCTCTCTCTCTCTCTGACTCTCATGAATAAATAAATAAAACATTAAAAAAAAAAATCATAAGGAAAAGAAAATAAGGTGACAGTTCTGTACTCTAGAAATACTGAGTGTCAGTGTACCCATGCAGTTCAAACCCGTGTTGTTCAAGGCTCAGCTGTATACGTGTAAGGGTGGAATTGCTGTCATATGGAAACTGTATGTTTTAGCTTTTAAAGAAAATGCCAGACCGTTTTCAAATTGGCTGCACCATTTTACATCTCCCAGTAGCAGTGTTTGAGGATTATTATTCCTCCTTACGATTATAGCCATCATACTGAATGTGTAGTGGTATCGTACTATAGTTTTGTGTTTACCTAATTAATGATGTTGAGCAGCTTTTCATGGTTTTACTGGCTGTTTGTCTCTTTTTTTTGAGAAATGTCTATTCAAGTACTTTGCCCAGTTTAAAATAGTGGGTTATTTTTCTTTTTATTGTTGAGTTGTAAGAATTCTTCATATATTCTAGATATAAGATTCTTACATATTATTTGGAAACATTTTCTCCATTTCTGTGAATTGTCTTTTCACTTTTTTTGGTAGTATCCTTTGAAGCACAAACGTTTTTAATTTGGATGAAGTCC